AAAAGCTTTCTCTCCGTCTATTGATACGATCATATGATTTTTATCTTTTCTTTGTTGATATGATGGATTATGTTGATTGATTTCCGAATGTTGAACCATCCTTGCATCCCTGGGATGAATCCCACTTGGTCATGATGTATGATCTTTTTGATGAGTTGTTGTATTCTATTGGCTAGTATTTTGTTGAGAATCTTTGCATCCATGTTCATCAGGGATATTGGCCTGTAGTTTTCTTTTCTTGCGGTGTCTTTGTTTCCTTTTGGTATTAGAGAGATATGGGCTTCAGAGAAGCTGTTTGGGAGAGTTTCTGTTTTTTCAATTTCCTGGAAAAGCTTGAGAAGAATTGGCAATAGGTCCTCTTTAAATGTTTGGAAAAATTCGCTAGTAAATTCGTCTGGGCCTGGGCTTTTGTTTTTGGGAAGACTTTTGATTACAGTTTCAATTTCCTTGATGTGAATAGGTCTATTCAGGTACTCTATATCTTCTTGATTCAGCTTTGGGAGATGGTAGGAATCCAGGAATTTATCCATTTCTTCCAGGTTCTCGTGTTTCGTGGCATACAGACTTTCAAAGTAATCTCTGATGATCTCTTGAATTTCTTTAGTTTCTGTTGTGATATCCCCATTCTTATTTCTGATTAGATTTATTAGGGTTCTCTCTCTCTGTTTCTTTGTGAGTGCTGCTATTGGTTTATCTATCTTATTTACTTTCTCGAAGAACCACCTCTTGGCTTCATTGATCTTTCGGATTGTTTCTTTGTTTTCCATGTCATTGATTTCTGCTCTAAGTTTTATGATCTCTTTCCTTCTGCCTGATTTAGGCTCTTTCTGTTGATTCTTTTCTAAGGTCTTGAGCTGTGAGGTCAAATTGTTTATGTGCATCGTTTCTATCGACTTAAGATATGCTTGCAGAGCTATAAATTTTCCCCTTAATACAGCTTTTGCTGCATCCCATAAGTTCTGGTAGTTTGTGTCTTCATTTTCATTTGTTTCCAGGTATCTTTTGATTTCATCCTTGACTTCTTTCCTGACCCACTCATTGTTCAGCATCGAGTTCTTTAATTTCCAGGTGTTTGATTTGGTTCTCCATGTCTTTGTGTGATTCACTTCTATCCTCAGTGCATCATGGTCTGAAAAGATGGCTGATACTATTTCTATCTTCTTGATTCTGTTGAGGTATGTTTTGTGTCCTAGCACATGGTCTATTTTGGAAAATGTTCCGTGCGTGCTAGAGAAGAATGTGTATTCTTTCTTTTTGGGGTGTAAAGCCCTGTATAAGTCCATAAGCCCTCTTCTATTACTTCTTTCAAAGCCAATAATTCCTTGCTGGGTTTTGTTCTTGTTGATCTATCCAGAGGTGATAAGGTGATGTTGAAGTCTCCAAGTACTATTGTGTTGGTAGTGATGTCCTCCTTAAAATCTCACAGCAACAATATTTAAAAGAACAAAAGAGTGATGTGAGGTGAGAGCAGAGGCTCAGCTGCCTATATGAAGTCTGTACTACCAGGTCTGCAAACCCTCTGGAGGGCTGTCTATCAGTCTATCTGTCTGTCACCTGCCCGCTATCTGGAGAGAACCACCCAGTATACAATGTACTTAACAGTTGACATGATAATGCAGGATACTGGGAAACAGCAGGACAAATGCACGCAGATCATGAGGGCGTTCCTACAAATACTGGAGGTATAGAAAGTTGAATTTCAGAGTTTAGACAGTGGGACAAGACGCTGGAAATTATTAGGTTTCAGTTATTAAAAGGTTTACTGTTTTCAGAAGTGTTTTAGGTGTTAGCTATAAGATGGGTCGAAGGACAAGGAGATCAGCAAACAAGTTGTTGGCATTAATTCAAGAAGTGATGAGAAGTTAAACTAGGTGAAAAACAAATGTTGGCTCCTCATTCTCACCTGCTGGAGATGAGGCCCCTAGTAAACAGGCTCCATCATCCCGTAATGAGTCCTTCAAACTGGAGACATGGAACCCCTAGATTTCAGATGCAATTTAAGAGGGAAGGTGGAATTCAAAACCATGTTAATATTATGCCAGCACTTATTCCTTCCATAGTCCAGCTGTGGGGGATTCCCTCAGTTTGAGGCTAAGTTGCCACTCCTCAGGGTGCCATTTCAACTCTGAACTAAAACAGGTAACTCACAAAAGATGATTCCAGAAAAGTGGGGAGAGGTGACAAACTCTTCTCTTATAGAATTAGATGGGGGTTAGGTGACATCCTTCTAGATTCACATAGAAATCAACATGAATAGTATATATAAAGAATGGCATCAATTTGTGATATACACTTGCATATGCATTTCAATAATTCTTTTCACCTCCTTTTGCCTCCAGCAATTACTCTTTGAGCCTCTTGCCTTTTCCAGGCACAGTGCAAGACCTTGCGAATCACAGAGGCAAAAGAGATACTTACTGCCTGCTGGAGAATCAGAAATGTCAGTGGACTAAAAGGCATTTCAAACCCAACAGTGACTGAAGCAGAGAGAAAGGGAGAATAATTTTGGGCAAGGAAATGCAAGATAGGGTTTGATGGAGATGCTGACATCTAAGCTTGGCAGTTAAAGATGAGAACTGTGATTGCTAGGCTTGCTCAGCACTCAGGAGAAAAGGCTGACCTCCCCAATCCAGAGGGCAGGCATGGTGAGGGAACCTGTGGCCCCCTGTGGGGCCCCGCCCTCTCCATCAATCCACACAAAGAGCACAAGCCAAGGGTCCTGGGGGGAGTTGTTGACACTGCACAAAGAAAAGAAGTCAAAGAGTGAGGTAGGGGCTGAGGTGAGGTTGGTTACTAAAAGAAAATCTCTGTTCTATCAGGAGAGAAACAGGATATAAACCTGAAAACCTAAGTGATAAGGAAGTGATTTACTTTTCCCTTTTCTTGGGGGGAGAGGGGTGGTACATCACAGGAAATGGAAGCCAGGTTTCTTGCATAGAAGGCATGCTCTTTACCACATTATTTGCTGTACAAGAAAAGTGCATGGTGTAAAATCCTTGAGGAGGGAAACAGCTGCGGTCAGCTGGGGGCACCTGACACTCTGCCGCCTGCACTTTCATCTCACCAAGCTCGGTATTTCAGGGAACACAAATCATGAATTTCTGCACAAAGTGCTTTGTTCTATAAAGCACTTTAATGAGAATGTGAAGAGTTAGCCACATGGAATCTTTTCATGAGCAATTTGGGTTTCTGTCTTTAAAAAGTCACTTTATTCATTCATTATACAGCATGTAAATATAAAATAAATAGCCAAAGATGCCTCCACTTTTGTTTTGATCTCCTCTTGCTTTGTTTCTTGGCTTTATGTATTAACGCTACCCATGAAAAGAATTCTGCTCTATAATCTCAGAGGAGGCAGGGGGTCTGTTTTGTTTACAGGCAGCTGTGACTTTACTTTCCCATCTCCTCTTTGTGTAGGGGTGGACAGCCACCACAGATTTCAGGCAACAAAGCAAAACATCCTGCTTGCATTTATCAAAGAGCCTGTCATATTTTCCCAAATAATGAGTACATTTATACCTAAGATTGGTTCTTTCAAAAGAAAAAGAAACCTTCCTCTGCCACCAACTTGTGTTAACCAGAGATAAACATGTTTCTCTGGCTGAGTTAACCTCTTTTAAGATTTAGTTTCTTTTTTGTATGAATAGAAGTATTTGCTAGTATCTGAAGTCTAGGGGACTGCAGAAAGTAAAAATTGGAAAGAGCTTTAGAAACAGTGCATTCAGCTCTTATATGTGATCAAAATCATGTCCTCGGTGATTAAATAGCTTATTCAGAGTAGCAAATGCAATTTAGAGACTTGTTGAAAAATTTTCTAAGGAAAGATAATAGGACTCCCTAAAAAAGGTATACGTGTGTATGTGTGTGTGGGGGGAGGTATAGTGGATATGGTGTGTGTGTGTATGTATGTGGTGGATGTGTGGTGGGTGTGTGTGGTGGTGTGTGTGGTATGTGTGTGGTGGGTGTGGTGGATGTGGTGTGTGTGTGTGGTGGGTTTGGTGGGTGTGGTATGAGTGTGTGTGTGGTATGGGTGTGTGTGTGTGTGTGTGTGTGTGTGTGTGTGTGTGTGTGTGTGTTTTGGATGCCACATCCACAGTGCTCAGAGGTTGTCTGGTATGCTAAGGAACCATGATATACAGGTTCCTATGTAATAGATATTACACTATTTTCCCAGCTCCTCCAAATGTATATTTTTTGTCGTTTTTTCCCTCTGGTTGAGTTTTGAGCTACACCTGACTTTGTGCAAGGTTCTCCTCTGGGTCTGTGCTTAGAGATCATTCCTGGTGGTGCTTTTGGAACCATAAAACCATATATGGGTCTGGGGAGGCATGCAAGGCTTATATGCTGTGACATCTCCCCAGCCTGCAAATGTGTATTTTTAATTAAAGACATATCATAAATTTATTGTTAGGAAAATAAGTCACAGTAGTGAAAAAACTTCATGTTACTCTCCTGAGAATGACAGTCACAGAAATCAAGGTGAAAATATTCGAGACAAAGACATAAATCATGGATTTTAAGTCCAATGTGGCACTGTGTGTGTGGGTACCCCCAACATACATGTGTTGAAAGAATACCCCCAAGATATTGGTATTAAAGATGTGACCATAAAGAGGGCCATTGGGTCTCAAGAAAGAAGCCCCTGCATTAGTGCTCTTAGAAAAGTCCCCCACTCAAGAAGACCAAGAAAGCTGTTTCGCCGGGTGAGAGGACTCAGTGAAGCTACAGTGTAAACTCACAGAAGGTTCTAAGTGGACCTCAGCTGCCAGGACCACAGTCTTGGACTTGCAGCCTCCTCAGAGGCAAGCAATACACTTGCAAGTCACTCTACTTACAGTATTTTTGTTAGAGTAGTTTGAATGGACTGAAACAAACAACAATATCTTTCAATAGAGGGTAGAACTTAAAGTACAAAGAGCTAAAACTTCTCTTATGACAGTTTAGGTTTTTGTTTGTTTTGGTTTGTTTGCCAACAAATTCCTGTATGTTGAATACCATACCTTTTTAATTTCAGATTTCAAATTGCAAGGGTTACTCTGCTGACTGAAGAGGGATTTCTTGAATCTCTCTATGACCCTCCTTTTCAAATTGTGGTGCAAAGCTGGAGGAAGCTGCATAAAATGAGAAAACAATCATTATGAGCAAACTGTTAGCAGATCACTCCCAGGAAGCTCTTATTGAGGGCCAGCTTAAGAGCACCCACTCAATGGGTCTAAATAATTTAATTTTTACCCCAAATAGCATGAACAGATATTTGTTTTTTATTCTGCAATCTAGAAGTTAGCTGTTGCTGCTCTTTTTCAGAATGCTGCTCCAATTTATCTTATTGCTCTTTCATTTTATTGATGTCATTTTTCAAAGAACAAATAAATGATATACTAATTGCAAACATAAATCGAACCTTTTAGAGAACACTCTTGACAAGGCAGGATACAGTCTATCAGACATTTAGAAGCTCATGTCATGCACAGAAATGATGGTAAACATTCTAGATCCCTATTTTGGAGGATCTATATTTTGAAACGCAAAACACAAATCTGCATTGGTAGGTACCAGAAACCTGCCTTTGTGTGCTGCTTCTGAATTTTCATGGGGGGAGATAAGGTTGTAGAGGCCACGAAGGAAGAATTAAGTAATACAGTATAGAACTCATCCAGGATACAGTAGATGTTTAAGTAACAGAAAGCCGTCACAAATCTTTAGAAAATATAGACTGGATGGAAACTAAGTTTGAAAATTCTTGATTTTTTAATGCTTTCCTTATTGGATTTATCTTAAAGTAAAGATTCCACTCCAGCCCTGGAGCGATAGCACAGCAGGTAGGGCGTTTGCCTTACAAGCGGCCAACATGGCCGACCCGAGTTCGATTCCTCCACCCCTCTTGGAGAGCCCGGCAAGCTACCGAGAGTATTCGATATGCCAAACACAGTAACAACAAAGTCTCCAATGGAGACGTTACTGGGCCCGCTCGAGCAAATTGACGATCAACAGGAGGGCCTTTACCTTTACCTTTACCTTTTAAAGATTCCACAAAATACAGACAATAACGTGAAGTATGAGAGAAGGCTAACAGAGAGAAGTAGGGTCAGAATAACAAGGAATTTCAAAGTGGAAATAGCATTTCACATGATGCTTAAAACATGACAAAAACCTGAAAGAAGAAAAAGGGGGACAAGGAAGAAAATTCTCGCAAAGTAGAAAGAAAAATAAGGTAGTAGAATCTTGAGATATTTGGAAAAAACAAGCATATGAATCAACACTCATATCAAAAGAAAGGAAAATGTTGAGGGACCATTATCAGCTCACCCCAACATGATTTTTCTGTTATCTAAGAGTTCGGGTTTAGTCATTTGACTACTCAGCCAATGAAAGGCATCTGCATCATTTCAAGAATGAGGCAACACAAAGTCAGTGCCTCCTACATCCCCGACCTCCCGAGGAGCCAGGAGCATGACCCTGCTTCCAGAGGGTGCTGCCACTAGGTGGAGGAAGGTTTCTTGCCCTGCTCAACCTCAGCTGAGATAAACCTTCTCAGGTCTCAAGCCAAAGACCTCAGGTGTATTTGTCAGGGTAGTGTAAGTTGCGTATGCTACATCTGATACAGGAACAGATGTCCATTCATGTTGTGCAGAAGGCTATATAAAAGGCAATCTAAGAGCAATGGGTAGATACAGGTTTATGGGGGTTTTTAACAGCTGATTTCACAGCCCCCCCAAAATGAAAAACAACAGTCAATTATCCAAAACACAATAGAAAGTGGGACTCATTAGGAAGCACTATACAAGAACAAGTTAAATCAAAAAACATGGATAGGAAGACAAAGCTATGTCAGCATTAAGGGACATAGAAAGAAAATGAGTTGAAATAATACATGTGCATATGATACATTTGCAAAAGTAGAATAAATTTAAAAGAACCAGATAATGAGGTGGAGGGACACGTGCTACTTCCCTAAAAAGGGATGGATAGAGTGAGGAAGGGAGATGAAAAATGCCCAGAGACACCTTTTTGGATTTGATCATTTCCATGTCACCCAAGAAGAACTGCCACTTCCCTATCTTAAACACTAGAGGGTAGTGTTGACCCAGGACCATCCAGCAGGAGCATCATGCCCTGCATACTTGGAATTGTTAGAGAGAAAAGGGCAAGATTTTTTTCTGATATACCCAATTCTCTGCTCTAGCAAACTTGAGAAAATGTCCTGAACCAATTAGTCCATAGATCCCCTCCTCCAGTACTGACCATTGTCTATCAGATTACTAATTCAGAGACCATAATAAAAACAATGCTAACTTAGGTTAACCATTGTTTTTATTATGCCTCATGATAACTTTAACTTTCTGTCAGCTTAAAATTCAGATACTTTTATCAGGAAATCAAGTATCTATACTACTGTGACAGTTATCACTATGGACAGACAGCATTCTGTCTTCAAAGTTTTCATGGAAGAATTAATGATTTTGCACAGAATGATGATGCATAGATTAACTGCAGAAGACAGAAATATGCATAATAGCATTGTAGCACTGTCCTCCCATCGTTCATAGATTTGCTCGAGCAGGCACCAGTAACATCTCCATTGTGAGACTTGTTACTGTTTTTGGCATATCAAATAGGCCACGGGTTGCTTGCCAGGCTCTGCTGTGCAGGCGAGATACTCTTGGTAGCTTTCCAGGCTTTCCGAGAGGGAAGGAGGAATCGAACCCGGGCTGGCCTGTGTGCAAGGCAAATGCTATCGCTCCAGCCCATGTATAATAAAATAAGAATAATACTACTGTTGTATAATTTCAGTCAACAATATTTACTCTTCTATGGGTGCCACTACTCTATCACAAAAAACTTACTCGTAGGAAATCAGAGCTCACAGACAGAGTGTGTCACCCATGATTATGTTCAGAGGTAGAGAACCTTCTAGCACAACCCATCCGCTGGCAAACACGCAGCCACAGGCTTTCCTGTGGGACAGTTCCTCAGAGTTCATAACCATTTTACAAATGTTGTTTACTGTGTCACGATAGCCCTGTAAGTGCCTATCCCCATGTTAGTAATGAAAAACTGGTTCCAAAAGAGATTGTGACTCACCCAATGTTTTAATGTCAAAAAGTTTAACTTTGGTATTTATTTTTACTGTGCTGAAATAACAAAAGAGAGAATAAAATCTGATTTTGTATGTTTTACTCCAGGTTCTCTCAACACTGTATAATATATGGATTCTCTCCCCAAAGCTGCACTATTTATATTTTTCAAGAATACACCGGCGAACCATCACTGGTCCGATAGATAGCATGATAGTAGCTTACTATCTTTCCTTAAAATACTTAAACTAAAACAAATTGTGGCCGGAGAGACAGCTCAGTGGGCTGTACATATGATGCCCACTTTGACCCCCACTGCATGGTCCTCAAGCAATGCCAAGAGTGACACCCCCACCCGAGTACTTAGTGCTGAAGCTAACTCCTAAGCACTGCCAATGTGGTACTTATAAATCAAAAAAAAAAGAATAAAAAAAGAGGTTTTGGTGAGTCTTTAAAAAATATATTACTGATAAAGTAAGATGCTCAAAGATTGTCATTTTAAAAATACATAAAGTAGGGCAGAGGAGGGAGTCCAATGGGCAGGGGTGCATGCCTCACATGCACAGATGCATGAGTTTGTACCTGGCACCACATGCACTCCATCAGAGACCATCAGGCATATCCCTGAAAGCCCCTGAGCACCAATGGGGTGACCGCGTTGGTACAGCACCAGTGAGCCAAGCACTGAGGGTCACTATATCACTGAACCCAAGCACTGAGCTGTCTACCTTGATTGGCTGTGAATCAGGCCCACTGAGCATTGTTTGGGAGCACTCCCCCACTCCAAATACACAAACTCTGAGTCCATGAAGAAACAGGGTCTACCCTGTTAGGAACCAGGGGAGTTTAAGAGATTGGAGCAGATTAGAGGGTGCACGTGGTTCTCTATTAGTCCATCTCTACTGCTGCTGGAAAAGCAACAACAACAATAAGAAACAAAAAATTGTGTGTTTCACTGACATTAGCCGGTGCGACTTCATCTGAGAATAGCATATTGCTATTTCTAAATAGTTTTCAGGAAAAAAATTGTTGGCAACAACTGTGGTTGTTAAGATGGTAATATGAAGGAGCTTCCACTGAACCCCCCTTCTGTTCTCTGGGAGACAGATGTTTGATTTTTTAAAGTTGCTTTTATACTGATTTTCAAAGTACTTATTTAGCGAAACAATTCAATCCAAAGCTGAGGTCAGCTCCCTGGGTTTTATCTAAGCAATGGCACAAACAGACTCATGCTGAAATGTGGTATGTGTCCTACCATCCCCTTGGATGCCCACAGATCAATTCTGGTTTTCCAGCCATGGAAATGAAGCCCTGATATCACTAGCTGGTTTTAAGATTGCCATCTCAGGTTTTTTTTTTTTTTTATGGAAACAGATGTCAAATTGGTGAAAGGCAGGGTAAGGAATTTAACATCCTGCCTTTGAAAAGAGTTGCTTTTAGATGATTTCCACAGATCGGTCTCCATGGAAACAGGATGGGAAAGGCCAGCACTGGGCAAAAGAAAGTTGTTTCCCCAGAGGGTCATCGGGTGGCTGTTGGAAGGGATGTGACCCCTGTCATTCGAGGAAGCCACAAAGCACAGCTGCAAAGAGCTAATCCTGTTAAAGAGGAGAACAAGAAGGGGCTTGGGCGTGAGGGTGGGTGACAGGTGGGTTGGATGCTTGGTGTCAATCCAATTTCGCTTTAAGCAAGTTTGCAACAGAGAGAGAAAACCCCATCATGGTCTTATAACGTGCAGAATATGCACAGGGATTGTGTTTATACTTGCAGTTATCTCCTTTATTTGAAAGGCACTGACTTTGACTAACTCTGTAGTTTACTGGAGGGGGGGAGGGGGGAATCACTCCTAGGTGCCAAGTCAGAAACTGGAAATCCATTTTAACAACAGCGGTTATAGCTGAACTTGCAGCTAGGAATGCCATCTTGCAAAAAAAAATATGAAATGATTTGTTATGCTGGCATTGAAAGAACATAATAATAAGGCATTTATAATAGTTTTAACCTTGCTTCAAAATACTTTGATGCCAATAAAGAAATGGAATATAGACACTAAATTATTTTATTACATAAAAATTAGCAAGATTGGTATATAGAAACTATATTTAAAGGATATTTTCCTTAATTACTAGTTATACAATGAATGAGCCAGAAAGCTACTTAAAGCTATTTTCATGTTCCCCATATTTCTACAATAAAACTTAAATCCAATTGTGCTTCTGAATAGAAAAATCTCTCCTCCTTCCTCAATGGAGATGTGACAGACCATTTTTCATTTATTAACCAAGGCATCCTCTCCCTTCTGCTACACTGTGCCTCTGCATTCTTTTCACCTACTCTGGAAGAAAATTCCAATTGGCTAAGAGAGAAGCACTGATAACAACAACCCGCAACAAAGGTTCAACTTTAGACTCTTGGGTCTGCAAAGGCTAGTTCTCAGACTGACTGAAAATAATTTTTAAAAAATGGATTTAAGGGTGAGACAGCAAAACGAAACAAAACAAAAAAAGGAATCTTAGATCTTTACAGCATACAGCCGAAGAGAAGGACCACATGGAGGGCGGGATCCACAGCTCCCGAAGAAAATAAAAAAAAAAAATAACAGGTTCCAAAAAGAGCCTAGATCATCGGGAAGTCCCAGATGGGGTAGGTACCGCATCCCGCCTCCCCCAGATGGAACCCCGGTGACCAGAAGCCTCTACAAGCACAGCTCGAGTATGCGGGAACTAGGACTTTTCCTCAAATCTGCCGGACAACAACTCCCAGGTAACCTCTGATTCCGGAAGTCACGCCCACAGCCCGCCCCCCCAGCGCCATCTTTACAGCATACAGTCGAAGAGAAGGACCATATGGAGGGTGGGATCCACAGCTCCCGAAGAAAATGAAAAAAAAACAGGTTCCAAAAAGAGCAGAGATCATTGGGAAGTCCCAGATGGGGTAGGTACCACATCCCACCTCCCCCAGATGGAACCCCGGTGACCAGAAGCCTCTACAAGCACAGCTCGAGTATGCGGGAACTAGGACTTTTCCTCAAAACCGCGCGGCCGCTTATGCGGCCGCACGACATCTCTCTATATACAAAGTAATCCATGGGAAGTAAAACACCCAACGTTTCTCCCTGAAAACCAGAGTTAAGTTTGGAGCACGGCCACAGCCCCAGAAACACAAGGACTTAATGCAGAACCCAGCAGCTTGGAGCAGAAAAGTGAACGGACTATGCGTTAATCCAGGCCATCATGTCTGCCCGGAGGGGAAAGGGTGTTGCCCCATTCGCTCTCTCTTCTCTGGAAAGAAGGATGGCGGCCGCATGGGAGCCTTGTGAACAGCAGGTATGAGCCGGGGGGGTGGGGGCGACTAAAACCTCATGGGAAGGGGGACGTTCCGGTCTGTCCTTCATGCCCTACCGAGGTCACCAGTTGCCCCCCGCGAGCGGCTCTCCAGCACAGCCAGGACTCCAGAGCACAGAAACCAATTTCTTAACTATCTAACTTTCAGTAGAAATACTTCCAGGGTCAATAAGTAAAATAGCATAAATCCAAAACCAACATTTAATTCTTGAACCCAGCTGTAGAAAGCAAATCACTTCACAATGCTTTTTCAGCATGTCTGATTTGGGGGGGGGGGGGCGGGTAAACTCTAAATAATAGTGGTGAATCTTTTATTGAAACAATGAATCTAATCAAAGCAGATAGAGTGTTAACTAGAATTCATCTGCCTCACAGGGACTGGGAGGGGTGGGGGTGGGGTTTTATTGGGGTTCTTCATGGTAAAAAATAAGTATTGGTAAAGGGAAATGTGTTTGATATTTGCATGACTGAGACCTAAACCTGAAAGCTTTGTAACCTTTCCCACAGTGATTCAATAAATAAATAAATTTAAAAAAAAAAGGAATCTTAGGTTACTCCCCAGATTAGAGGGAGAAATTAAAGCAGAAGCATCACAATGTGTGGGTTTCCAGAGAAGGGTGGGGGTGGGAGTTTGAGCCCCAAGTCTGACCGTGCTGGCTCTCAGTTAATTTTGCCTCAGCTCTAAAGACATACTTCAGAACCCTGCATGGGGAGGTGGGGGGGGGGGTTGAACTTTGCTTCTCGCAGCTCTATTACTCCCAAGAGGACACTGGAAGGGGAGGAATCTAGTCTTGGTGGTTCAGGAGCTGTTACTGCGTTAGTACTGCACCATTGGCTTCCTGCTTTATCATCCAGATAACAGCAGGAACAGTGAGCTCGGCAATACCCCATTCCAGCCACTCTCAGTAGTCCCCATCCTGCAAGAAGTTTCCCAGAGAGCTCTGTGGAACTGCACCACCCCCTGGATCCCCTCCTGTGCTAACCCTCTGCTGGTTCCACAGCACAGCATCTCACAAGGGGGTCAGCCTCAATGCCAGAGGAAGGCACTTCTGCAGGGGGCTCTGGCGAGACCCCTCAGCTAATTCCTATGACAGGGCCAGTGAGGTCTGACCTCAGCCCAGGGGGTAGGGGGTACAGGGTCCTCTTTTATTTTGCTCCTTTCTTGGGGAGGGGGGGCTCTGTCTCAACACGAAAAGTGGTTTTCTTGTCTGCTCTTCCTATCTTCTTTCTCTTTCTCTTCCTTTTCCTTAGCTAAAATGTTAACAGCTCTCTATAGTAACACATTTCCGCTGAAATTGCTGGGTGATTTCTGCCTCTTACCTGGACCCTTGGTAACACTAAAGACAGACTCGGGAATAGTCCAGGAGAAGGACCCTTATTGATGGGACTTGCTTGGCAAATGGCTTGACTGTGTGCCTTTGGAACTGAGCCTGGTGCTGAGGTGTTTTTTTGCCATTGGAGATGAGACTGTGCTGTGGTCCTATCTGGGCATCCCAGTGCATCAGGCAAGTGCCTTTGGGAAAGGCCAAGTGCTGCAGAAGCCTGCAAGTCTGGGTAGCTCAGCACTGTCAGGGCAGAGGCTGAATACATGAGCCAGGGTGTGACACAGATGCCCCGCAGTGCCCTAGAGTACTGGCTAACACAGGTCTTTAACCTCTCAGTTCATGTCACAGTGTGACTTCCAGAGACCCAAAGAGATTCCTGGCAGTTCTAAGAGAAGTTGTGTTTCTTTGTATATAGCACTGATCATTACACACAACCAACTGGTGAATGCACTTTTTGTCAACTTTCTCAAGTAGACAGGCTCCTAAAACTTTGCATGGAGGCATTTTGCTGCACCGAGATAAAAACTATCAATTGTGAAACCCAAGACACGCCAAGCCAACAGTCACAGTATGTCACCTGGTAGCTAAAATCAATTCACTGGTATTGGCCCGCCACACATTCCCCATTGAGTGTGTGAGTCCAGGCAGCTGGAGATGACAACTGACTTGGTTAGCTGGGATCGATCTGGATGACTTAAGGGGGTAGATTTAGTTCAAGATTGATTTAAAATGGGTCCAACTGATTCACTAACCTGGTGGTATCTCTCTCTAGTACTTGGATATACCGTAAGACTGGCCACAATTGTCAAATGACTCCTTCATTTTAGATCACTAAATCTTAAAGTGAAGAAAATTGTTTGTATGTTTTACTGCTTCTATATCTCAAGTGTCTAGAATAGTGGTTGGCAAATATTTGGAACCTATTAAGTATATGTCAGATAAATGAGTGAATAAACTATACAAGAAGTTCAATCTTAAATTTCAATATAATAGGCATGTGCTTGTCCAAGTCTATATTTCCTTACTGGAGCTCTGTCTTCTCTCTGAAGAAGCCCAGAAAGTTTTTTGCTACCAAAATAATTTTTTATTAACATTTCGGATTTCAGCAAATGAGCACTCAAGTTGTTTATTATTAGACAGATTTCTGTAAAAAATTAACATGCTCTTTATAAGGCTGGTTGTTTCTCCAATATCTAAAAATAACTGTGATTTAAAACCAGGAATTTTTAGCCATTCTGGTTTTTATGTATCTTTGTCACTTTTTTGTGGGGTTCCAGGTTTTAGTCCAGCATCCTCAGGAATAGTAAGTGGGGAAATATTCTTTTTCTTTGTTAGTGAAGCTATTTCAGATCTTTACCTGGTGCCACCCCATGGTCAGCCCCACTCTGAAGGGTCAAATGAGCAGGTGATTAATTGGAGGGAAACCACACATTGCATGTTGGTTTTCCTTCTTCTTTTTCTTAGCAAACTACCTTTCCAGCTCTGCTGTTAAGTCACAGTGTCGCCAGGTTTGTGTGGTGGGGGGAGAATAAGAATAAGCATTCACTCTAACTGAAAATTCCATAGAGTAATCCTTCCGTGATGCAAACACCAATCCTGCACTTAAGAAGACGAGGAAAAGAGAAGTGAACGCACAGACCTGCGTGATGTAGATGATTTTGTGGAGCTGAATTAAGATCTGCTGAATAGGATCACTGATCTGACGCACTTTCCTCTGGGACACAGCGATCCCCGCAGATGCTGTGGATGACAAATTCTGCAGTTAGTCAAGACCTTACATTTTCTTTTTCAAAAGTGAAATTAGTAGAAATGGAGTAAACTCTGGGCAATGACATTTAAAGCAAACTTCTTCATCCTACCAATGAATCAATATACCAAGATCCTCTAAAACCTCAATATTTCACATACAATCTAGACAGTTTGTTACCTTTAAATGTAAACTTTTAAGTAACATAATGCTGTTCCTTGTCATAACATCACAAAGGCCTTAGATAGTTAGCCTTAATCACAGAGGCGGCCACCAGAAGGCATGTTGCCTCAGATATGGTGTATGGCCATTGAGAAGCAGGACATCAGATTTAAAGCTAGAGGATATTATGCCTTAAAATTTTTTAATTCATTATACCCTCTGCATCATATTTTCAAACTAATTTCACTAAAACCAATAAACACAAATACAAAATGAGAGCACAAACAAAAATTAGATGGGGCCAAAACAAAAATTCCTTCTCTAGAATTAAATAACATTCAAACTTGATTATTATATTTTAATTTCATTTAAAATTATTATGTTAAATTTAAAATTATCATATTTTCTTTATCATATTTAATTTATCACAGAGTCACACCACTTTTCAAGTTGTCATTAAACTGGGGTTAAATTGCCTATGCACCGTTTTCTTAGCTCACAAGACATGGCCACATGTGGCCCGATCTTAACTTTGAGGGATAGAGCTATTTAAAGACTTAGCAACAAGTCACTTCTGCCTTTTCTCCTTTTCAGATGCACTCTAGCAAAAATAGACACATAGAGGCACTGCTTGTTTCTCTTTCCTTTTCCTTTCAAACAAGGTTTCCTCAATAACACTTCTCTTATCAATTTTCTTCTCCTAGGGCAAAGCTAAAAGTCCCTCTTTTCTTCCCTCTATACAACCTTGAGTCTGTATGAAGTTAAATTTTAATACAATCATTGTTTTAGTGACAGTGAAGATTTTTTAAATGATTATTATGTAAAAATTTTTCTTATAAAGCTTGCATACCTTATCACAGCAACTGTTTTCAAAATATATGAAGAGAAAATTTAAATAATTCAACTTGTTTTAATTATAAGTATATAAAATGTATGTTTCAGACATAAAACACAAATAAATAGAACATTTACACAAATATAGTCTTTATGGGTATCTTTACTGAACTGAGAAATGCCCACAAGAAGTAAGCTAGTTCTGACTCATCTGCATTTAATACATTGTTTAAAAGTTTAAAATTTAAAACATCTATCTCCCGTAGGCATGGTGTCTTACTCCTTTTAAGCATTAATTATTAAACCATTAAGATGAGGTTTAATAAATAACCCTCAGGGTAAAACGTCAATGTGAACCAGAAAGAAATCTTCTGAAACTAGAAAGAAATCTAGTTTTCTATATCTTCAATATAGAAAACTAGGCTGCAGACTTTGCTGGAAGTGGTAGAGATGCCAAGTATAAAGGCATCATATTCTATTGCAGTGCTTCTCATGGAAACACTTTTTAAAACAGCATTATTTATCTAGAGCCAGACCACCAACTAGAAACCAAATAATGTGGTCATGTTGGAGATTACTATAGGGAAATTAAGCTCTGATTTTCTAAAGCTGGAGAGCTTGGCTTTTAATCACTTTTGCTGTCTGACATTCACAGGTAACAAGTTAAAATCTCACAGCATGGCCAAGAGTTCTGAGATTTGTGATGACATTTGGAGTGGGTATCACATGGGTTTCACTCTACCTTGCCACAAGAATGTGCTCATCTGTGGCCCTAAATGCAAAAACAGAGACAGTTAGCTAGAATGCCTGTCTTCTCCCCCACAAAACTACCCAATAGAAGTTGAAAGTTATTGTTCTTGTCTCTTTGACCACTCATCTCTCAATACCATTAAGTCCTTGGCTTTTGGGAATAGTTGTGGGTGCTCACACTTAAGGGAAAAAAAGAATTAAAAGTTTAATTGTGCAAAATGCTTGTAAAACAAGTCCTAAAACAAGAGCAACCTACATGTCACAGACAGGTCTCCTGGGACCCACAACCCACCACAGTGCTCCATAGAAGTAACCAACATTAGCAGGTGTTTGCTGCCTTTTCAATCACTTCCCTGACCATTGACACACTGTGTCATCAGAACAGTATTTTCCAAACTGTTGTTGAATCTAGAAGTTGGCTTAATGATGCATGACCAGCAATTTGGAAAATGGAAAGAGATAGAATGGAATGGGATAAGGTATTGCACATAGTGTGGGTCGAAAGACATAAGCTGTGTTTCTTCTATTGAGAGTCATTTCTAGGAGTGATTGAAAGCTACGCTTGGAAGAACTATTAAGCATTAACTCAGGCTTTCTTCTTTCTCTCTCTTTTTAAACAATGACACATCAGAAAGTCATTTTCCACTTTTTTTCCCACTTGGCCTATCATTGAGAGCCTTATTTTATTTTCTTTTGTTTTGGTCAGAATACAGTTTTAACTTATTATTCATCACACTATTGATAAATTCTGCCTGTTCTAGATGCACCAAAATGGACTTGGCCACTTTTGTGTGAATGGGTCCTTGTTTACCTTTCATTTCTCATCACTATAAATGATGTTGCTGTAAGGACACATGTGCCTGCCTTGCATGGAAGTCCAGAGATCTTTTAGGGTAAACAAGGAGAAACAAAATAGCTGAGCCCTTGGATGCACATATTTCTTATCATATTTCTTATTTTAACAAACAGTTTACAGTGGCTGAAGAGTTTTGCCCTCTGACCAAAAGAGAATCCATTTTTCTATACCTTGAATTACAATAAATGTTATCAACGTTCTGCTTGCTACTCTGATTTTGTTCCAATTTGTGCTGATCTGAATGCTGGTGAGTTTGCTACACTTTGTTCAAGCTTCTGTGTGTATTCCCTGCTTCTGTTTTGGTCTTTACATAGTATGAATACCAATCTCGTTTATTGTATTTTACAAGTTAAAAGTATTTTCGCCTAACCTATTGCTTTTATAAAAATTGAATCATGCTGACTTACAAAGTTACAATGTTATTCATTATTATTTCAGGCATAGAGTTCCAATATCCATCCCTTCACTGGTGTCCACTACCAATGCCCCATGTTTCCCTCTTGACCCCCAGCCTACCTCTGTGGCAGGCACTTCTCTCCACCACTGTCCTAATGTTCCTTTCCCTAACTTATTCCCCCCAACCCTATTCTAGTTCCAGGTTTCTACTGAAGACCATGGCCCCTGCTGTTTGTTTCTACTGTCTTGGACCTTTATTATTTCCCTATGAAGTTTCTTTATATCCTGCATATGAGACAGATCATTCTGTGTCTAGCCCTCTCCTTCAGACTAACTTTACTCAACATTATACTGTCCAGATCCATCCATGTAGCAGAAAACAGAATAATTTTATAATAATAATAATAATAATAATAATTTTAATAATAACAATTTTCTTTTCTTACAGCCAACTAGTAGTCCATTGTGCACACGGACCATTGATTCTCTATTCCAGTCATCTGTTCTGGTGCATTTGGGTTATTTCCAGCTTAGGCTATTATGAAAAGTGTTGTGAAGATGTCTTTTCTACATTATGTTCTGGGGCCCTTAGGATATACTCCAAGAAATGAATTTGTTAGGACATATGGAAGTTCAATATCAAATTTTTTGAGGAATGCTCATATTATCTTCCGAAAAGGGTGAATCAGTCCACATTCCCAACAGCAGTGAATGAGTCCCTTCCCTACACCCTGTATCCACTGCTTATTTTTCTTTTTTATGTGTTCCAGTCTCTGTAGTGTTAGGTGATATATTATGCTTTTATTTTCATTTCCCTGATGATTAATGATACAGAGCATTTTTATATGCCTTTGGCCATTTGTATTTCTTCTTTGAGGAAGTTTCTGTGCATATTTTCTCCCCATTTTTTAAAATTTTTATTAGTCAGACACCATGAGGTACAGTTGTAGACTTGCAAATTTTTGTGCTTGGGTTTCAATTATACAATGATCAAATACCTATCCCTCCACCAGTGCCCATTTCCCACCACCACGGATTCCAGTATCGCTCCCACCCCCCCATCCCCCCATCCCACCCTGCCTCTGTGGCAGGGCATTCCCTTTTGTTCTCTCTCTCTTTTTGGGTGTTGTGGTCTGCAAAAGAGGCAATGAGTGGCAATCATGTTTGGTCTATAGTCTACTTTCAGCATGCATCTCCCATCCTGGGAGGATCCTCCCGACACCCTTTATTTGGTGCTCCCTTCTCCATCTGAGGGATAGACATAGAAAGTTTGCATTCATCTGGGGAACATAAAGTAACAAAATAGGAGACTAACACCCAAGAATCTCCCCATTTTTTAAAGGGTTGGATTTTTTATTGTTAATTTCTACCAGTGCTTTAGAGATCTTAGATATTAACTGTTTATCAGATGAAATGTAAGCAAATAATTTCTTATAGTCTGTGGGATGTCTTTGTATTCTGGTTATCATTTCCTCTGAAGTGTGTTATTATTCTTAACGTAATATAGTCCCATTTGTTTATCTTTGCTTCCAGTTGTGTAGACAGTGGGATTTCATCCTTATAGATGCCTCTAACTTCAATGTCATGGATAATTATGCCTAGGTTTCCTCTATTTACCTTATAGATTTAGGTCTGATATTGAGGTCTTTAATAAGATTGCCTGCCAGTTATTGTTTTAAACTAAAAAAAAATGTCTACCTCCATCACTTAGACTAAAGGTATTTAAGCCGCTAGGAGTGCCAAACGTCTGTCAAGTATCTGCTGCTCCAGTATCTGAAAAAGACAGGCTTCCAGAAGCCTTTCTTTTCCCCTGGGTCCTCCAGAAGGGTGAGTGTCTTTTGAGTAATGGTACAAAGTAGAATTCAGAAAGGAAATTTGAGACAGAAAAAAGGAGGGAGAAATCTGGCTGTATTATTACAAACTCTCTTAATTTCCTACATGACTTTAACTAATCCTGGTGTAAAAGCTCTTATTCTGGGACAGGACATATATTATAGCAGGCCAGGTGCTTGCCTTGCACACAATCAACCTAGGTTCAATCCCTTGCATCCTATATGGTGGCCAAAGACCTGCAAGTAGTAATCCTTGATTACAGTGCCAAAAGTAAGCCCTGAGCACTACCAGTGTGTTACACTTCCCCACCAGTACCAAAAAGCAACCCTCTTATTCTTCCTTTTCTACCAGATCAAGTCCTCAAATAGTTCTTATATTATAACCCTAAGTAGAGTTATTTGCATGATTTCATGTTTTAGGCAAGCAAAATGGTAAAAATCCAAATAGGTATCTGTTTTTCTTTTTATTCTTTATTTAATTATGAGGAACAACAGGGAGATAGTTGGTTTTATCCCTGGTTTGTAGATGAAGTGGTTGAAACTGCCCAACTGGACTGGCAGAGCTCAGGGTGCTGGGACATGAGACCAGATGGGTCTGGAAAATATTCTCAAGTCTGTCTAGACAGAAGCTGGGTAGGGGTGGGAGGTAGGGGTGGGGTAGCCCTCCGAATTCTCTTCCTAACCAGAGGCAGTGAAATCGTGAACAATTGCTCCAGCTGCCTAAAATTAAAATAGCATCTATAGGTTCCTTCCCAGGTCTGAAGGACTGTTTCTGTTCTTAAAGGAGCTGCTATGGGGGGGTGGGGGGGGGGGATAAAGACAATTCAATGGACTAGAATGCATGATTTTCAAGTGGGAGCCCAGGATTTTACATTTCTTCATCACCTCTATCCAACCACCAGGAGCAACACTTGAGCACAGATAAAGGAGTAGCCCCTGAGCACTGCCAGATATAGCCAAACAAAACAAAACAGAAGACTCCACTGATTCCTGTACGGGGTACAGCTGAAGAGGTAGCTAGAGATCAGATATCCTGTAGCCAAAAGATTATTTCGAATAAAGTAATCTCAGGAGAAGAGCCTAGCACTGACTTCAGAAGGTCACGGTCATGGTCTTCCCGTTGTTCATCGATTTGCTCGAGCAGGCCCAGTAACGTCTCCACCATGAGACTTGTTACTGTGTTTGGCATATCGAATACGTCACAGGTAGCTTTCCAGGCTCTGCCGTGCGGGAGAGATACTCTCGGTAGCTTGCCGGGCTCTCCAAGAGGGGCGGAGGAATCGAACTCAGGTACGAACTCTCGGGTTGGCCATGTTGGCCGTTTGTTAGGCAAACGCCTTACCGCTGTGCTATCACTCCAGCCTGACTTCAGAAGACCTGACTTTAATATTCTCACAGTGAAGGCCAATGACACAGTTGTCAGCAAGTTACAACTGTGTGAGCCTTACTTTTGTGCTGCTGGAATGGAAACCTAGTGAAAATGGGAATTCCGTGAAGGGGGCTGAGGTGAGAGACACAGTGGGTGTGGGACTGTCTGTGCAGAGCAGGAGTCTAGGAGGCTATTGAGATCGAGATAAGAGTCTAGAGTGACGCCCATGGAAAGTGGAGGAGAGACGATGATGATGATCAGAGGGTAAGGCTGAGGCATGGAATCCTTACCAACATAGTCCTGCAGATAAAAATATTAGGAAGGGATGTGACAATCTGGGTCTAGCGCTCCCCCAGTGGGACTTCCGCACAAGAGGCAGAAGACATCAAAGTCTTCCACCTGCTTTCATTCAGGCTGTTCAAAGGCGGGGGGAGGGGCATCTCCTCTTGCACATCTTTGGGATTCTAGCCCAATAATCTTCTTTATGTGACACATGTCACATTTGGTTCAAGCTGCGTGTGTAACTGTGTGTGTACTTCATGTGTGTATTTATGTGTGTGTACTTGGGT